ATCAAGCTGATTTAAATCAATGAACCCTGTATATTAAGTGTTGGTATTTTTAGTGTAAAATCAATCAAGCTAATTTGAAACGGGCAAAAAAAGATTTTTTTTTGTTGATAAATTAAGGAAACCAGACTAAACTGAAGAGGAAACTTAAGAAGTTTATTCCTTGAAATTATCAATATTACTTCTTATAAAGAAATTACAATTTTTTTTCAAAAAGGGGAATACATGAAAAATATTGAACAAAAAATATAACTTTTGAGACATGGAGAAGATTAAGGGTTTAGGATATCAATGTACCAAAAAGAGAAAATTTTTTCTGAGTTCAAGCTTTATTAATACTTACAGCCTTAAACTTAAAAATTTGGAAACTAGGTTTAATAGAAAACATATCAATGAACAATTGAAACATCTGAATATAATAATTAACATCTAAACAAATAAAGAAATTGCACTCATATTATTTCCCACAAATGAGTATGCTGGAAGTGAAATCAATATAAAGCTATAAATAATTCATTTGTAGTTTTGATATGAAAGAAATCATTTCAAAATTTAGATTTTAATATAAGCGACATTTAGTGAACGAAGATGACTAAAGGAAATAGAGGAAAAAATGTATGAGTAAAAGGTACAAATTTTTATATTGGTGCACATTTCAAACAAGCATACAATTAAAATACCTTAAATATATAAATGATAGCATCATTTGTAGTGAACAATAGATATGGGAAAGCACTCTAAGCATATCGACATAAAATATAAAATAAAAACTGTACGAAAAATAATAAAGCAATAGACTTGAAAATTAATAAATTTCACAATAGGTATAAAAATTTTTTAATGAAAAGAATCCCCGTGGCAGAATCGCGGGGACATTGTCTTACAGAGTTCTTGCAGAAAGATTTTACCTTTGGGAAGTAAAATATTTTGCTTTTCTTTTCTGCAGAAATTTTTGAAAGATTTTATCTTTTCATTTGAATTATATTCAAAAGATGCCTTTCTTGCTCATCGAAGAGGTAAAAAATGCTCATGATTTTTCTATTCTCATTTGAGAATAATGAAAAATAAAGAATAATGATGAAAAAAGTTTGGTTACGATGTTATTTATTACAACAACTGAGTCTCGAAATGAAAACATACATTTAGTAACCCCTTTTTAGAGAGTCTGAAACGCGTTATTTCGCCGTCAATCTCTTTTTTCAGTATTTACTGCTACAGATTTCATGATTTTTTTTTTAATGATGAATTACAAAATACGAAAAGGAAATAATTAGTGAGTTATCTTNGACTAGCATCAGCCTAGAATTTCAATTTAATAATATAAAATAAAAAGAATAAAAAATCGTGAAAGAGATAGTTCGTTCTAGAAATGATGACCTTTCTTTCATTATTTTATTTCTTTAAAGAGCACCATATTTTACATACACTTGTTTGAGTATCTCCTTTTCAAAGAGCTCTATTTGCTAGATGAAGAAATAATTAGTGAATTTTTTCCGCTGAAAAAATGTGACAATTAAAATTTTTCATACATTTTTATTTGATAATTTCTTCTGTTAACACAACGTTTCTGTGACTTTAAATTAGTAATTATTATAATTAAAAGTATTTTAAGGCAAAATATTAGTGATAAGGAAGTTTGTCGCAGAAAGCCAGAAAAAATTCTGTCACAAGGGATGAGGCCATCTGGAAAAAAAAAGATAGAAAACTCTTACTTTTTTAAAGAGAGGAAAGGAAAATAGTTTCTTACCACATCATGCTAAGCTGTTGGGGTGTGAGATTATTGTTGTTATGCTTTATGTCAGATGCTTCTCCTTTTGGAATATCATTATGTTTCTCTGTCAGTTTGTTGTTAGGAGGTTGCCACACCACCAATGCCATTGAAGGTTTCTCTCTGAAACATTAAATATCGTGATAATATAATTTCAATTGCAGTGTTGTCTCAAGAAATTTTTTTAGAGAGTCATTTCTCTCACCTATTATTTTTTGAGGAGTAAATTTTAAAATAGAGGGGTGATTTAAAAAACAGAGATTATGTTTGATACTTATAAATTACTGCAATTTACACAGGTTACATTATAACTAACAAACATATTACACCAAGTAAATATAGAATCATTATTTGAACATTTAACCAAAAAACATTATTCCATATTATTTTAAATATATTCCCTATTTAATTAATTATACTAAGGTATTTTTTAAAAAAATATTAATAAAAGACATAGAATTAATTATTTTTGTTTTAACCATTTTATAGCAAGATAAAAATTCAGGTCACAACTGAGATATTTATTGGTTGCAAAACGTTCTGGTAAGATCATCCAATTCAGAGATAGCCAGATTTTTCGACAAAAAAGAAGCACCTATCAAGTATTTTTAAAGCATTCAAAAAATATTTTCAATCACTTTCTCAAAAAATCTCAATTAGGATCAGTGCAGAAATAACAATTATTTTTTCTGCCGTTTGAAGTTCTTAATTTATAAATACAAGATCAATAAAATTCAAGAACATTTTCAAAAACTTTACATAATCAAGATAAAATAACTAGTTTCAGATAAATTTTACCGAGAAAATAGTGAAAATCATGCATTTTTTGTAATTTAGAACGACAATCGTCATGACAAAGAAAAATCTCTTCTTAAAAGACAGAAATTTAAGTCATTTCTACAAAACCCTAATAGAGCTTTAAAAAAAACTTAAATAAAAAATAAACACCTTTAAGCACTTTTTAAAAACACTATGAATCCTGCATTAGTCACATATCAAAACTACTAGCCATAATTCAAAAGTCATTGTCAAAGGCAAATCTTAACAATTTAACACAGAAAACTTCAAACTAAAATTTAAATTTACCTTAAATTGAACTATTTAATAAAATAAAAATTCAAATTAAGTCATTTGAGGAAAAGAAATAAGAATAGATTGGGTTTGATTTTTGATAACTTTTCAAGACTAGAACACTAATAAGGATAAATCTGAAGCAATATTTGATGTTTTTTTAAAATTCTGACTATCTTTTAAATTATTATACTTCATTTTAAATATATTTCAGTCTTTTATTTTTTTAATGAAAGAATTTTGTTTATTTCTTACTGTTGCAATTGGAATCATTCAGCAAAAAAAAGAAAGAGAAATTTTTTTATTCGATTACAGTAATTCTCGCTGAATACCTTGTAAAATTTATTAGAATTATTTGTGCAGTAAAAAAACTGTGCAAAAAAATTCTATATCAATACTTTCGTTGAAAGATAATTTGTTTCGCTGAATTTACTATTTTATTGCATTTGGTGAGGTGAACTCTTAGAGCAGTACCTATAATTTCTCCAAAGCTGGCTTTTTAGATACTTTGAGTAACAAAATGTTCCTGAAAACGGAATACATAAAACAGGGTGCGTAGCCCCTTTCAACAAAAAATAAGTTTTAAGTACTTTGTAAGCACTCAAAAAATATTTTTATGAACTATATATATATTAATAAAATGCAAAATAATTTTCAAAGACTTTTCTTGATCATGATAAAATAACTAGTTTAGGGGTGATTGTGAGCCCAAGTCAAAATTCCGGAAAATTTCTTAAGTTCAAAAAAAAAAAACCCAGCTTAAATTGAAAAATATTTAAGCAAGGTTTTTTCTCCTTCTTCTCAATATTTCTTGGTTTACTTAAAATATATTTAAAATTTTACACATTCCTATACCATTTACACATACCTATAATGACCTGGAGAAGTAATTAAAATTTACAAATATGTCTTTCTTTCTTGAGTTTATGATTATAATAACTATTTACTGATAAAAAAAAATTAATATTAATCGTGAATATAAGCTTAATTTTTTCCGGAGCACAATCTAAGAATCTAAGCTCTATCAAAGAACATTTTTCTTGATTATATTAGCTACCATAAAAAGATCGAGAGATTTTTCAGTTCGATTTCAGAGTGTGGAAAATGGTGTTTGAAATTGAGAATACCTTGCAAAATGCAGCAGCGTTGCACATGAGAGTGCTAGAATCTCACCAGACCCAGCTCAGTAGACGCAGATGTGGAATCCGATATATTTTATCAAACATGTAAAATGATTGACATTTTTGAAAAGGGAAAATTAAGCACTTTTTAAAAATTTTAAAATTCGGGTCAGTTTTTTAAATTTTGAATTGATTTTCGGGAGTTTTAAGATATAGGCTATTTAAAATAATCAACATTTTGCGATTACCCGATGCATGCAGGTTCCTCATTCAATAAAAGGAAATTAGGAAAACAACTGAAAGTTATTATGGGAGCTTCATTAGATATTTCATCAGTTAAAACTTGGAGTTAACCTTAAAAATTTTTAATAATTATATTCCCAAATTTTTCTTCTTCTCTGTTCATTAAAACTATGAAGAGTCACATCCATACTAAACTTAGTGAATGATACTATACCGAAAACAAAATAAAAATATCAGCGCACAGCTGTTTGGTGACTGTCGAGAGCACTCCTTCAACTCCAATTTTTGCAAACTGAGTTTTATCCCGTATAGGATCTGCATTTACGCATTGTGGATAAATTGAAGTTATAAATCAAAGAAAAACAATAGAGGAAAAATTAATGACCAAACATGAGAAACGCTTAAAAAACTGGCCAGCTATGAATATAGTTTTGCAATAAAAGTAAAAGCTCATCAACATGTAGTACATTCTTACATTTTATTTAAAAAAGTACTCAATATTTTCTCAGGTTCAACCAGCTTCTTAAGTTCAGGTGCAAGAATCAAGGATTTGGAAGTGGTGTCACTGGAACCAGCATCTTGTAGCCTGTGTTAAGAGAAAAAACAAACAAAATCCAATTAATATCAAATAAACTGTGCAAAATTAATGCAAAACAACAACTGGTACATCTAAGACATATTTTTCTGAATTAATTTTGTTAGCTCATCTCAATAAACACACCTTTTTAGATTGTTTTAACATTTTAAATATTTATTCACCCTTTGAAACTGCCCATAAGCATAATGATTTACACATAACCGTCACCCTCTATCATAATTAAAGTTACTTTCCTCATATAGTTTTACATTCTGCAGTCACCATATAAAAATAGTACTGCATTTATATATAATATAAAACCCCATGGTTGAATGGCAGCGACTTGTCGCAGAACGTTACAGAGTTCTTACAGAAAAATTTTTCTCCTTAAAAGTTAAAAAAGAACAAAATTTTCTTTTCTACAAAAAATTACACGTAATATTTGAGTCATGCATTTAGATAATCACTTTTTGATACGCTAAATTTTCGGCGATAGTATCGTAAATCAATGCAATGTTTCGATTAATTTTCTGAAATTAATGATATTGATGTTCCCAAGGATTTTAAATATCCCGATATATTTCAAACAGTATGGAGTATTTACTTTTGAAGGCTATAAAATTTTTGGCAGTTATTGCTTTTAATTTGTCCATAGTTTTTAAATCCAATATTTTTCACTACAATAACCTAATCTCGAAACGAAACATGCATTTGAGGAGTCTGATTTGCGTGATTTCGTGTAAATAGTACTATGGATTTCATGACTTTTAATTATATTTTTTGTTTAAATTGTGCATTCCAAGAATAACACCCA